CGAATGTGGGAACCTTGAATTTTGGTGGGATGACCATCCCAAAAACTAACCCTAATTCTTCAAAGTCCAAGCCAGGTATCTACTGAATTCCATAGCATTGAGGCGATCCTCCAGCTGTTTGTATTTATCATCAGCAGGAGGATATTGTTCCTCAGAGTAGTCAGCTTCGTCTTCATCAGTCCCCGAATTGTTATCTTCTTCATGATTAACCCCCTCATTTGACGGAGTTGAAAGATCTAGAGCTCTCTTGACTGACCCTCTGAGTCTTCTTCCCATATTCAAGATACCAGCCGCTTTCTTTTCCTTCTTCTTCTTCTCTTTGATGACGAGATTTTTCAGTTCTTCCTACCCCTTAGCCAGAGCCAAGAACATTTGTTGGAACTGAGCGTTTTGAGTTTGAAGGTCTTTTACTGTCTGTTCAAGAGCCATTTTTTTGCTGAAATAAATAGTGAAGGGATAAGAAGCCTGTCCGGAGAATACCTGTTATGCAATGACATGTATGATATGTAAATGTTTTCAAGGATCTCGCGGGTTAAACAAGAAAATGTCAGAAGTTGAATTTTGCAGCTTTGATTGAAGAACTTCACATTGTTGAAGGTCCTTCTATGAGAGTCAAGCTCACCATGTCGAGTGGGTCAGTGCCCCTGACTAAAGTTATTGTGTTATGGTCCTTTTGACGACATTGGCTAGAGGAAAATAAATCCCCTTGCCCCTTGCTAGACGTCTGATTTATCATAACCTGCATCACAGACCCTTGAGACACTTAAAATGGTTAAGGAGATGCTATGGTATGATGTTATGTTGTGTATGCTATGCGTTAAACAAAAATGTAAGGTGGCGTAAGAAAGTAAATCCTGCAAGAAATCCAGGTTATTGGATAATGGATATAAACAAAACCGACAAGGAGTACCAACAAAGCCCTGCAATGAGTTCAAGTTTATTAGATAATGAAAGCAAGCAAGTCACACAAATAGCCTTAGGTTCAGGCTTGCATGAGTTCCATAGGTAAGTACCCTCTTGAAGTTTAGTGGGCCCAACCTGTCCTATTAATAGTAATCAAGTTCTAGCGAATCTCAATATCACCGATTTTTTCCACAAGTTTCGTTCCGATCGACAACTGACTTGCCACCAAACAAAATTCGAGAGTCAAATCTCAATGAGTATAGTATCGAGTATCAACCGACTTAGGACTACACCAAAGACGGTTATCTCACTACTTCCTAATGGCCAAGTTTTTCAATTAAAGGTTCTAAGGTCAGTTGATGCTTCATGACACCATGCAGCGGCCCCGTATTCTCCTTGACTACTCAAGGGCTACCAGTACCAACCAAAGTGTCACATCAACGTAGCTATCGCTTCAACCGTTTCGGTATACCCTGCACAGTCCCCACGATCTATTTCTACTTACCTAAAAGGTTCCCTGGATCCGGGTATAGGATCTATAGTAACAACCCAAACAAGCCCTCAAAAGTAAAACAGACAAAGCATACAAGGTAAAGAAGTTTAAAATGAACTAGACTCTAAGGTAACCCCACTTTTTATAAATCCCCAGCAGAGTCGCCAGTTCCGTGATACGGTGGCAGAACCGACTGTTAATGATGGTTTTGCGTTTGTATTCGCAAATGTTGCGGTAAGCAAGAGTCGCCACCGACTTTTCTTTTATCCAAATTAAGGAAAGGGTGAAAAGAACAGAAAAAAACCTTTTCGAGAATTTTCTGAGTAAGAGGGGTAGATTATGGAAAGGGAAGGTGTTAACACCCTTTCCATCTATAGTTATCTACGGGCTCTTAGATGCTTAGATCATTTTAAAAAGTACCTTGTGCTTTGTGTGTTGAAAAATGTTTTGAAATTTCTTAGTGCGACGATTCGCTTTGTGATAACTTTTGTATCAGTCCTCAAGAGTGTTGACAAAGCAAATGTTTTTGAAAGTTGTTTTTGAAATGTGCAAGTGTAAAAAAGTTTGTTTTTTGAGCAAGCATCTAACAGCTATCTACTTGTACTCTAAAAGGTTTGTTATTTTCCTCATATCCTTTAGACAATGCTATCCTACTATTAGTGATTAGGTAGCCCTAGTCGTTGGATATTTGAGGGACATTTGAAGGGACGTTACGGTCACGAAGGCAACTTGGTAAGAAATTTTAGTAACTGTCCTAAAGTTCTAAGACCACTTTTTACCAAGGCAACGTCGAGAGGATCATCGAGGGACTTATGATCTTTTAAATTAGAGGACAATCACTAAAACTTTCCACGTTTCGAGAATTGTGACCGTTTTCAGAAGGCAACGAAGTGGGCGTACCCTAGAGGTGTATATGTGCAATTGTATTATGTTTCAATTATTTTTGTCTTTTTTGTTAGGTTTGCTAGCGTTTGATTTTAGTCTTTTCCATACAATCCTATTAATCATACATCTAGCAGTTAATATGAAAAGCAGTAAAAAATGCAGAAAGTAAGGGTCATACGCTATTACAACCAAATCGAAAGACAAGAAAAATATTTAAAAAAAACAAAGAACAAAATAAAGAAGAGAAAATGAATTCTTCAATCCAGGCCATGGACTCCTTCGATTCACCCTCATTTGGCCTTCTTTCGACCGGGCTTAAGAGTTGACGTGAGCAGGCTTCGATTTGCACATTTTCCTGCCTCTTTCGACTGAGTTTGGGAATGGTATGGGCAACCTTCGATCGCAGCCTTCTCTACTTATTTCAATTGAGTTAGGGAGTGGTCATGAGCAACCTTCGACTGCAAACTCCTCTGCTTCTTTCGATTTAGACTATGAAGTAACATGGACCTATAGAGCATCATGAGTGTATATCCTTTGTTCACACTCTTTTTGTCTTTCGTTTGAATCTGTACATGTTAGTTCCAACAAGAAAAACAAACAAACCAAGAGGGCAGAAATGAAGAACATAACTAATAGGCTATCTACATATTATGTTGAAACGAAAAGTAAGTAAAAGGCTATTTACATGTTATGCTGAAACGAAAAAAGGCTAGGTCAGAAGGACTTACCTTGCCTGGAACTGGAACTTGTGTGTGGACTGGAGTTGCTGGATGCTCTTGGATTCGAAAGGAAAGAGGCAAGTTTGGTATGATCTTGTGAGGCAGCGTGTGCGTATGTACCTGGTATCCTCCCTTTTGTCCTCTTTGTGAAGCTTGCTAGTGTGCTACTTATATAGAGGGGATGGAGGGGACAAGAGGACAAAGGAATAACCAGCCATTAAGTTGGTGTTTTAATGCCATAAATATCACTTTGAAACTTTTCCAAAGACATGGTTTCTTGTCCCTTTTTGAATTTGCTATGAACCTGGACACATTTGGCTATTTCGAATGCCCTCTAGCGTTGCTCTTCGATTGAACCTCTTGTATATCCTTCGAATGGGCCTTTTGTTGCCTCATTCGAATAGACTTTTTGAGTGTTTTTCGAATAGTCCATATGTATGCCTTGTGCCCTCTTCGAATGGGCCACCAATGTGTGTCCTTCGAATGGGCCTTTGGAGTACTCGTTCGAAGGGGTCATATTGTGTGTCATAGTGCAGAAAGTGTGTTGAGGGGTCTTGGCCTTGTGAATCCAAGACAAGTCTGAGGAAGCCTCTGTCTTGTAGATCGAAGGCCCGTTGGGGGAAGCCTTTAACTTAGCGAATCCAAGACAAGTAAGAAGATGCCATTGCCTAATGAGTCGAAGGTTGCACGTAGAGGCCACTGCTGGTGAATTGAAAGGGACTTGCAAGGGGTTCTTACCTTGTGAATCGAAGGCAAGTCTGCAGTAGCTAATGCGCAGTCGAAGCCTTGTGAACCAAGCTTGGTCGAAGGAGGCCCAGCGCTCCTTCGAAGACATTGTGAAATCAACTTGATCGAAGGAGGGTCCAACGCTCAATCGAAGTTGGTGAGTCAAGCTTGTATCGAAGGATTTAGATGCCCAATCGAAGACTGGTGAGTCAAACTTGTATCGAAGGATTTAGATTCCCAATCGAAAACTGATGAGTCAAACTTGTATCGAAGGATGCCAAACACCTAATCGAAGCTTACTAATCAAGGCATGATCAAAGAGTGCCAAATGCCTAATCGAAGTATCTTGTCCCAATGCCAATCGAAGACATCTTGTTTATCCTCAAAAAATTTACATTTCCTTTAAGCAATTGTTTGTAACCAACCATGTAGGAGACAATCTTAAAAAACACGAGAGGACAAATTTTGGGATACAACAGATCCACATTTAGAGGAGAGAAAAATTCTCCAATTTATTATACTTCAAAAATTGCTATAAGAGATTATAATATAAGTTACAAGAATATAGTCTTTGGAGTTCCCGAACAAACTCTATTTCTTACGCAAATATTTCTCAATCTCTCCAACTCTTAATATAAAAATCACACAAACCCAAAGTGTTTAAAGTGTTCACAACAAATAAGAGAAGTTCATATTTATAACTACCAAAACCTTAACAATCCCAAGCCCAAAAATATGTCCATGCCAAAATAGTTTTTTTTTTCTCACTTGAGGTTTTGATGCATATTACAACAGTAGTTTAAAATGGAGATTTCAGAACTCTCTATGACCAAACTCAAATTAATTATGAAATTCTAAAACACTAAAGGTAGGCTTGTCGGTAAAGGTTTGAGTCCTAAAAGTGCATTCCTCTCAAGACTCATGTTTGAATTCCACTAGTTGCTAACAATCTTGCGTTGGGCCAGTTAATGGATCCCCTTCCACTAGTTGCTAACAATCTTGCGTTGGCCCAGTTAATGGATCCCCTACCAATGGAGGGTAGGATAGGTTCCCTTGGATTAGTCAGTCACAAGATCGGATATAAGCTTTCAAAAAAAAAAAATTTACTAAATTCTGACCAACATTAACAAGTTGAAATTTGAGTGAGTAAATATTGGAATTCTTTGATGATTCAGGTTTTGCTAAAATAATCCATTCTATAATCTGAAGCATCATGAAGTAGAAGAAAACTAGACTAGCCTATATAGCATTGATTTTATTTACAAGAATCAATTTCAGGATAACAAACCCTTCATTACGAAGATGCTCAAACAACCAATAGCCACTGCTGCTATTATATGTCGTCCACCGGACTCTGAAGAAGAAGAAGAACTTTTCCAGTTGGTTCTTGTATGATGAGGCTTCTCTTCCAAATTCCTACAGAAAATATTATTCAAGTTGTCCAACTGATTCATTATCTGGCGTTGAACCTGTGCGATACCTGATATCTGATGATCACAAAAATCAGTGAACAACTAATGCAATATCACATATCCTAGTAATTGAGAGAAAGTTGAGATGGGTACCAGAATATGAATAGATACGTACCTCATCTCTTAAAGGTGTGTCCTTAGAAAATTGTGATGGGAATGAGGAATTTGGCATTATAGATCCAGTTAGGGAACCATTACTCAAACAAGTGATGAAGTAAGAGGTAGGAGCAGAGCCATCACATGACTCAGATTGTAGGACCATATTTTGTTGGTTTGGACAATTTTCCTTTGAGGTTAACTTCGAGTTCAGCTCTTCAATACGATATGCAAATTCGCCCATTCTATCATGCAGGCATGCAATTTGTTCTGAAAGTTGACTGATGGCACCCTGCAAAGTACCGAAATCGTTGTTGAATGAAATTCTATAGAGTCATCTTTAAATTAAGAAAATAATTTTAGAATTAAAAGTGCTAAAATTAAATGAACTTGCCTGGTTTTCCAGTTTCGTTTCGGAATCCGAACTATTTTTTTCATGAAGTCCTTGATTGTTCGGCATGAATCCAGTTACTTTGGCTTGATTCTCATCCTCTTGATTTGTGAATGACTGTGACATATCACTATTGAAGATGCATGCACATTGGCATTATTAATCAACACTGAAATATCACTGTTGAAGATATTTTTATCTGATAAAATTACTCTGGCCTATACTTAACTCACATCACAGATACAGCTACTATATTTGCAAATTCTACAGAAGCCTCTTAGTTCATACGTCAGAGCAATCAAATATTGGAAAGACGCAGAGATAAGTTGGTCAAATGACATAACTACCAGAAACTCATTGCTCAAAATCGGCTAGAATTATTCACTCTAAAAAATGCTTGACCTGGTTTTCTAATGCAATACACGGTAAAAGCTATACCATTCAAGCTTAAAGGAAAATTTCTGTACACAATTATAAGACTTGCAATATTGGTATAAGATTGAATGTCGTAGAGTCAATAGATGGAAAATATTCACCTTCTGAAACGCTTATGTCTCATGGAAGCCCCATCACTAGAGGTTCTAAAATGTGCTGCTTTGGGGCTTGACACCAAATCCTCAGTAAGGTTGAGCTTTCTCCTTATTAAACCATCTGGCATGGCCTGTGTGGAATAGTTAGAAAGAGAATGTTGATGAGGGAGTGTAGGTACTAGAAGACTAGAGTATTCCATACCATTACAAGCTTTTCAAGTTGAATCTGCTCAATATAAGTACGGGGAATGTATGAACCTTCCAAACCAATTTGTTGTGCTATGTATGATACAACTAATCGATCTGTTCCCTGTACCTGTTTATTATGCAATGTGTTATCAGCCACGATCCCCTTAACTACAATCACATATGCGGCCACAACTATAATTTGAAACCATGACGCCAAACCATAAAATATACATGGAATAAGCATCTTAATACCAAATCCAAAACACCAGGAAATTTTAAACAAATGAAAATCTCACTAAAGCATTTGAGAGTAGTAAAATAGGATTATGGATGTACTCTAATATTACCTGAACATAATGTCGATTTAGTTGCTCAAGCCAATCTAGTTTAACACAAACCCCATCATCAGATAAGATATGGCTGCTTCTTTTAAGGATAGTTGCTATTGTATATCCAAGGGCCATAAGTCCACCAAGAAGACGCACACTGACTGCAAAAGTAATTCTTGGTGATATGACAAATGGATCATCGGTCACCCATTCCTTCACGTATAAACCATCAATTAGTTTACACAAGGCAGCAAGTCCATTCTTGGCTTTTTCAGATTTTAAATTTTAAAGAAAAAAGAACCAAAACTGGATGAGGCAAACCTCAAACATGAGACTGTAATTCCCATCTTTATTTCGCATCCGTAAATATGATTGACAGCTCTCTGGATCTTCACCGGGTGGTAGAAGATATATGTCATAAGTCTGCTCAGTTGTTTCCTCCAAATCTTGAGAGAGAACAGCTTTAATTTGATCCACCGATACATTCCTGGTTGACTAGAACAAATTATAACATTGATCACTAACGGGAATACTTGTGTACTTACTCTAACACAAAGTAGTATCAACGGTCACTCACAAGCATCAGAACTAACAGGAAAATATATATCTGTGTACTTACACACTGATACAAGTATAACTACAATATTGTTATGAGAACTAACCTTTAGTATGTAAGTAGGGCTTTGGAATCCAAAAAATGGATTAAACTTGTTGGTTATTTTTATATGTGCTGTTTGGAGATCTGGCTCAATATAAGCCTTGTACATTGGAAATACCTGCAGAAGAATAAGTTAAGCAACTAAGTATGTAAGCACAAATCTTCATTATATAGCAATGAAGGGAATAAAACAGTGTGCACCGTCTCAGATATTTGATGAATGATTTCTTGAGGTTCTTGACCAGCACGTTGTATATCACGTATAACTCGTTTGATCAGGTCAAGATGAATGCCTCCTGTTACAGATACTCGAAGGTCCAGTAGAGGCCTTAACCTCTCACTCAAAGCATAAATGCCCTCTATAATCACAATACGAGAGCTCGGGACTTTGACTGTCCTGGAAATGAAATACACTGCAAACTAAAATTGAATGCATAGCCTAGACTTCCTAATAAATTAAGGAATAGCAAAATACAGAAACAAAACACACAAGTATTCAGAGGTAGCTCAGAATTAACCTGTATCCCGTACGTGAACTGGATTTGAAATCATACACAGGAACTTCAACTGGCTTTCCTGCCTTTAAATCACATACATTTCGGAGCAACGTTTCATAGTCTGTTAAACGTGGATCTGCTCCAACAGATATATTAGAGGTGATAACATTGATCAAGATATCATAGAAACAATCAAAGTACGAAAAGACAATCATACACAAACACATCAACATTCACATAAGAAAAGATGAAATAACGATTTACCATCAAAGTTTCCATCGACAATTCGACTAGAATCATTGTAATTGTCCATTGAAATAACAGCAATATCAGGCATGGAGTTGAATATCTTATCAGCCAAAACAGTCTTTCCAGCCCCCGAAGGACCTCCCACCCCTACTAATATCATTCCATCATTTTTCTGGACCAACATCTGGCATGCATGGAGTACCATATAAAACCCATTCTCAAACGATAGTTTGTCTTTGATTGGAGCAACCTCATAGCGTTCACAGTTTTTCCTTTTAACCAACCGAACTTGATCTTTTAAGCGGTCTAGATGTCTTTGTTGTGAATCATCTCCAAAGGTTTCTTCTGCCATTGAAGGAATGCTTATTTCCTGCTAAGCAAACACACACACACATAAAAAAACATGTTTTAAGGATTAAAAAAACCATGCATTTTCATGCAATATCAGTGTAACCCTAATTTAAAACCATGTTTCTGATAACATCATTCAAATAACATTCACTGGCTGAAAACCCTTGAAAACCATGCCTAGATAAAGTCCAAGAAATCAATGGCCACATATCACAATAACAACAACATTATGGAAAGAAAATCATAAAGCTTTAACCTAAACCTAGAAAGATAATGTGAATAAAGAGTAAAAATAGATCCAACAAAGCACATTGGTGATTGTAAGAGAACTCGCCTCAATGGATCATGGAGGGATCAAGAAGAAGGGATCAACATAAGAGAACGAAAACGAATTAATTAAGCTCTGAAAATGTTGAATATTTAAGGGCAAAAAAGCCGTTTCAATTCAACGTGATTTTCAGAAGTTAATCAAAATCCAATTTCTTAGGGAATTTTTTTGTGCATGAACTTAAGCCGTTATTACCCTATATGGAGGTTATTGTTTTTTTCGCGGGTATAGTTGGGGGTTTGTGTGCATCTTAGCCTATATTTCTAACCTTAATGAACTTTGTTGTGGGATATAAAATAAAAGAGAGGAATACCATATTGATTATTATTGTAGTATAAAAAACTAACAAAACCTAATTTCTTCAACTAAAGTTTTATTAAAAAAATTTATTTTGTGGAGTATGGGTTAAAAATGCTTCTAAGTTTAACTGATCAAATTTAAACGAATTATTTTTTAATAATATTTCAAGTGCTCTTAAATGTCTTATAGTCTATGTATTTCAAGTTTACACAAGACCGATGAAAATTTGAATGTATGGAAGATGAAATTTGGAATTATTATTGAAGAGAATGTATTTTTGTAATGTGATTTTTTTAATATGAAATTATCAATTTATAAGACAATTTAGTGTTGTTTCTCAAAGTTGCGATCTTGATGAAACACACCCTTTCTGCAACATTTTTACTAAATATTGTAATGTTTCGCCTACAATAACACGATTTAAGCATTAAATATTTGCATTCGGCAACACTTCACTAATTATTGCCTATTTTTTAAATCAAATTTCAAACTTAAACAACAACCTTAGAAAACAGGAGCAATGACCATCGCCATGGTACGACCAGCCGTCAGAGTGCCATTGTATAGCACAGTGAGTAGCATGACACGTCGTGCCTAAGTGGTCAAGTGTCGTCTATAAGCCGCCACTAGCGCCTCTACGCCTTCACGCCCTTGAACCCTGTTAATTCTCTATTTTTGTGATTGACATTATGTTTGTAAAACTAATTTAGCATAAACATGTTGAAATAAGATGTTTTATCAACTGGAGAAACATGTTAAACAAGATGTAATATGTAGAATCATTCAACATCGCGCATGTGTATAGCTGGATAGTTGGATGTTTTAGTTTATTACAGATGTTTTATGTTCTGGGAATATTATGATATTCTATGTGGCGCTCAGTTTAAGGATTAAGAGATTCTAGCTGAATTCAAGGAGTATTCTTAGTTTATAATTATGGAGATAATTTAGGAAACTAATGATTGAAGTCTTATTTTTATGCCAAAGTTTCTGCAGATTTTTAGCAGCTAATTTGTTGCGTTATTGAAGCCTAAATCTAGTTCATTCAAGGTTATAAAAAGAAGGATTTAACCTTAATACAAGTGTGGGAAATTGTGCATTTTGTAGCGTTGTAAAATGTGATTTTGTGGGTTCTTGTGTGTTGATAGAACACTGAATCTTAGTGAATGTATTAGGACTTGTTCTTGCTAAACACTAAATGAGTGACTTTTCCGCTAGTTGAAGGATATCGGGGAGATCCACAAGCAAGTGGGAGTGAATTGTTTATGATATTAAGAGATTCAGAGGGTCACACAAGTATGCTTGAGCTCCAAGCGATGTATCTTGCTTACCCCTCAGTCGGGAGCCCTATATATAGAGGTATCTTGACCTCATTGATCACTGCATATAACTGCTGTGACTCTCCATCATATATAATTGAGTTGCCATTAAGGTAAGAAACGCCAGTCGTTGCCAATGATGGTTGTTTTTATAACACGCACCGTCATGTATTGATGGGCGGTTACACCCTTAATGGGTCGATCACTCTATAACTGCCTCATCAAGGTTGGGCTCTATGTAACCTCTAGATCCTGGGATAAGCCCGACTGTTGCCTTTTCATCTTTCTCAATGGTCGACCACATATGTCTCGGGCTATACAACCTGGCTCAGGCATGATAATCTCAAACTGAGGTATTACCCGGCTAAGCATTTATTTGTCCTCCTTGGCCTTCTATCCACGTCTTTCCTTTTTATCTCTCCTAGCTCGGACAATGGATCTATGTATGAACATAAGTCCCACGAGCATATGTTTATCTGAAGCCTTATGTTTGGTCAACATAAATATTGATCTTTTGCTCCGGATCAGCTTCTATAATCGGGTGATAGTCGATCCTATACCTCGGTGTGCGTGTCACTCACGCCCTATTTTCCCAACAGTCACCTAGTTTTCTTAGGTGTAATCATTACTAAGACAATTTTTTCAAACCTACACACATTTCCTCTTCTTTAATCGTTACTTCCCATAACTTCTCCTTTTATAAAAACCTTTCCTCTTCTGTTCCCAAAGACTCTCCTACTATCTTTTGCAAGTTCCCTCAACTCATATCTTCAATTTCTTCAAATGACAACCTCTTCCAGGTATATATCTCTTCCCTTTACCTTATTTTTCCTGCACATTTCCTTTTATTTTGAGAGATGGTAGTTTTACGCGAGTGTGATGAAGAAGGTGTTGTTCTAAAACTCTAAAATTTTGAAGAGAGATACACATTATGGCGTGCATGAAAAAGGCTTATGTAGAGAGGAGTTAGATCATATTATGTTGGAAGTTTATGGGGATATATATATATATATATATATATATATATATATATATATATATATATATATATATATATATATATATATATGCTTTTTTTAGCGATTCAGATTCCGAATCTTCCTCATCAGGTTCCATGGAAATCCTGATGGAAACTTCTGGCTCTTTTAGTGAGGAGGTGATGGGTTATAACCAAAGCTCCATGGATGAGGTGGAGACAGTGAAGCTTCGCTTTTTGTGAAAGGTGTCCTCAACCGAAAACGAGAATGATGTTGTTCTGGAGGCTTACATTCCCGGTGAACGGGTTTGTATGTCTCCGCCAAAGGGAGTACAAGACGAATGGTTTTACTTTTATGTCGAGGTGTTAGATGATATGCTTATCCACACCCCCTTTACTGACTTTGAGGTAGATGTGTTGAAGACGGTGAATGTGGCCCCTCTCAACTTCTCCCTAATAGTTGGGGCTTTATTAAAGCCTTCGAGATGGTATGTACAGCGTTGGATCTAACTCCGACCATTGGTTTGTTTTTCTCCTACTTTGAAGTTAAAAATTTAGAGTCTAGAAGTTGTGTTGCCATTAGCGATGTATCCCGTAAGAGCTTCCTTCAATCCTATACCACTAATTACAAGGGCTTCAAAGACCAGTTCCTTCAAGTTAAGTGTGGACCGATGTGCCCTCAAGTTATCTATGCCACTAATGGTCATTCTAAGTTTCTTTTATACTGGACTGAGAACCCATTACCTATGTCTGGGTTTAATTATGAAAAATTGAGTGACATTGAGACCAAATCTCTGCAAGTGCTAGATTATTTCTGTTTATTCAAGGTCAAGGATTTGTTACCTTTGCTTGACAAGGAGGTTCCGACCTTTCTGGGTAAGGATTCTTTTATTTCATTGTCGCCTATGGATCTTTTATTCCTTCCTCACATGTTCCCGTTTGATGTTTTTTCAGATAAGATGACTGACCTTTCTGTCAAAGAACAAAAGAAGTTGATGAATGTTGCTTGTGCTGCCCAAAAAGGAGCTGGAGGGCCTTTTCAGTCCAAATTTGACTTGACTGGCTTGGAACTTAGAGTCGTGAAGAAGAAGAAGAAGGGAACCGGCCCAGAGGCGGGTGTCATCATCGGTGTGCCCTAGTGACCGACCCAGAATGTCCTAGTTGTTAAAGAACATTCTCAAAGATCTCCAAAAAGTATGAAGATTGTGATGACGATGAGGTTTGTCGGGCTGATTGGGAGGTCTCGACGTTAATACAGGAGACTGGTGACAACTCTGTTCCTGCTTCTAAAGAGAACAAGTTTTTGTCAATAACTTTGATGGGATGAAGTTCCTCTATGATCAACTTAATACCACCGAAGATGTCAATTAGGTAAAGTGTATTGGCCCTCAGAAGCTTACTCATAACCTAAGTTCTTACCTGATGTGGTGCGCTGTGTTGTTCCGAAGTCTGTTTGAATCTGGGGGCGACTTAGAGGAAAGGTGTACCAATCTTAAGAAGGATGTACAACAGTTGACAGAGAGTAAGAAATCTTATGTTGACAAATGTTCAGCTTTAGAAAAGAGTCTGCTTGAAGAAACCTTGAAGAATAAGTCTCTGACCAAGGAAAACGAAGACCTTAAGACCTCCAGCACCAAACTTACCAATGTGCTAAATGTTACGCAAAAGTCTTATGTCGATTTGCAACGATCTTTGGAGAAGAATTAGATGGATGTCCTTAATGCTGGGGATATGGCTTTCGACCTGACAAAGGATCGGGTGTTGTGTCTCTATCCAGAATTGGATATCTCCACGGTGGACTTCTTCAAGAATATTATGGATGGTAAGTTGGTGGACATGGAAGCAGATGATGATGAGGATGGGTCCCCGGCCACAGGTGAGTCGGATACCAATGATGCCTCCCAGGCTGATGTGACCAAGTGATTTTAGTCTTTCCTTTGTTTCTTTTGAACAATTTTTATTGTTAGTCACCATTTTTAGGTGGGTGCATTCTGTAATGATTTTAAATATTTTTCCTGCTTAGACAATTGCTCCATGGGCCTTATCGTTAATTGTATTTTTGCTTTTGTTTTTACAAT